TGAAATTAGATATTCTAGCTCATTTATTAAAAAAAAAGAGTCCTAAAATTCTAAAATGCCTTAGTATCCTTAGTGTAGTGATCATGGTTCAATTCTTTCACACTTGATTATCTCACATTAGCTTTGGGTGGTTATTCTAAAACAAACAACTGTGGATTTAAACACCTCTTTATTTTTTTTTTTAAAGATTTTATGGGGCGCTTGGTTGGTTCAGTTGTTAGGCATCTACCTTCGACTTGGGTTATGATTCCAGGGTCCTGGGATCGAGCCCCATGTGGGGTTCCCTGCTTGGCAGGAAGTCTGCTTCTTCCTCTCCCACTCCCCCTGCTGTTCCCTCTCTCACCGTCTCTGTCGGATCAATAAAATCTTTAAAAAAAATTTTATATACTTATTTGAGAGAAAGACAGTGTGCATGCACTGAGGGAGAGACAGAGAAACAGGCTCCCCGCTGAGCACAGTCTGATGCGGGGTTTCCATCCTAGGACCCTGAGATCATGCCCCGAGCTGAAGGCAGATGCTTAACCCACTGAGTCACCCAGGCGCCTCCAACACCTTTCTTTCACACGAGGAAATGAAGGCTCAGGGAGATGAGGCACCTTGGCTGGTAAGTGACGCAGCCTCCAAGGACCACAGCTACAGATGTTAAGATCCTGGCCTGAGCAATGTACTCTAGTCACGAGTCTATTTCAGTTTGGAATTGATGAAAATTCCTTACTTGATATACTGCACCAGCAAAGTTCTGTTACACAAACAAGCAGTGTAAGGGATTTAGGTCTGACGTGAGAATTTCATCAGAACAAAAGTTCTTAAGCAGTAAAGTGGGTGAGCAAGGATGCTGGGTAACTCTCTGGGTTTTAGGAAAGAGTATCTGTTGGTACTGGGGGCAAACAAAGCAGAGAGAAGGGGAGACCAGGTAACTAAGGTTACTCTCAGAATGACTATTAAACGCAAGGATTACTAATATTCCAGCTCATGATTACTAAGCAGATATCCTGTCCACAACATTCAGTTATCAAACGATCCCCCTTCTAGCACTGCTCTTGGTAGGCCTCCTGAAGTACAAGTTTACGTCTTATAAGGAGGGGAGAGCTGCTTACTCAGCAACGTCACAGTTCCGATAGAGGCTGTGGCTCCTGGAGAACAGCTCACAAGCATCAGGATCCCGTCAACTGTAAGAACCCGTCTGTAGTAACTCAACTGCGAGGAAACCAGAATGTGTCCCAAGGCTAGGATTTGAGAATGACCTAGTACTTGTACAGTAACCAAAATACAACATAGGGAGGCCTAGACAACATTCCCCAGTAATCTGAGATCTAATTGTGATAGTTCTTATCAAACTTCTTAAGCAAACATCTAGAAGCAAACTTAATAGGTCTCATCTCATTTCCAAATCCTCTCTGCTCTTAAGTCCTTTGTCGGGAACAGAATGCAAACTCCACTGGGTTGCAGGGTGAGAGAATTCAGAACCCTGAGGAACTACCGGTGGGAAACAACAGGGCAGAGCAGCTAGAGACGGCTCGGCATTCTGAGAGCGTGGGTTTAATTATGGCTTTGCCATTTACTATGACCTGGCGCAAGTCCTGAACCACGGCTGTGCCTTAGTTTTTCCCTTCTGCAAAATGGGGATGATACACAATCACCATCTCATAGGGTTGCAAGGATTAAACGAGATAATAATGTATGTACAGAGCCTGACTTGTAGAGCAAATTCAGTTAGTGTTCACTATTATTGTCACTAGTCTTACTTATGTTAATGAGTCAAATTTATAACTACACTTCATTGACCATTCAAGGCACTACAAGCACAGATTTAATAGCAAACAGTGCTAATTACACATTTATACAGTACCAAGAAAGAGAATTGCAGATTTTTTTAAAAGATTATTTATTTATTTATTTGACAGAGATCACAAGTAGGCAGAGAGGCAGGCAGGGAGAGAGGAGGAAGCAGGCCCCCTGCCACGCAGAGAGCCCGACGCAGGGCTCGATCCCAGGATCCTGAGATCATGACCTGAGCTGAAGGCAGAGGCTTTAACCCACTGAGCCACACAGGCGCCCCAAGAGAATTGCAGATTTTGAGGAAAATGACTGGGGAAGGTGCCTTTCGAAACTTCCTCTGACATACCAGTTGATGACAAAACTGAGTAGGGACAGTTCAGACTAAGTGAATGAATTTAAATAATTGAAGGTAGAAAATTTCTCCAGCAGAAAAACCAGTGAAGCATCTTACAGAAAATGATAGAAGGAAATATAGAAAAAAATGTTAGAGATTAGTTTTTAAAGTTTTTCTTAGTTGGCCAAATACAGCAGTTCATGAACATGGCTGGCTTCCCCTCTTCCTCCCGAACCATCAGGATGGCAAGAGCTATCACAGCTTGAGCAAGAACAATTTCATAGGTTCTTTACGGTAGGCACAAAAATCGGTTAGCAAACCTAGACTAGGGCTGATAAACTTTTGCAAGACAGAAATGATGGAAAAAATGTTAAAGGTATTGGTGTATTACCTAGCTTTTGTTTTCATGTAATTTTCTGGTTAATTATCCAATAGACGGGATTAAAACATACCTGTCTTCTAAGATTTATATTGGACCAGGCTTCCTTTAATTAAGTCCGTGTGGATGGTTAGCATCTGTATTGAATGCTTTTATCATATTACTAAGAAAATATCTCAATTTTTTCTTGTTATTGTTGCAATGGTAGCCCTTCCTTCTCATTGTGTAGGTTAAGAAGCTGACAATCTCTCTCCCAGTGTTTTCTGAGACTCATTTATCAAAGCTAGTTTGGAGATGGTTTAAGAAAACATGAAACAGGGCGCCTGGGTGGCTCAGTTGGTTTAGCGTCTGCCTTTGGCTTAGGTCATGGTCTCAGGGTCCTGGGATTGAGCCCTACGGCAGGCTCCCTGCTCAGCGGGAAGCCTGCTTCTCCCTCTCCCACTCCCCCTGCTTGTGTTCCCCCTCTCACTGTGTCTCTGTCAAATAAATAAAATCTTGGGACGCCTGGGTGGCTCAGTTGGTTAAGCAGCTGCCTTCGGCTCAGGTCATGATCCCAGTGTCCTGGGATCGAGTCCCACATCGGGCTCCTTGCTCATCAGGGAGCCTGCTTCTCCCTCTGCCTCTGCCTGCCATTCTGTCTGCCTGTGCTTGCTCTCTCTCCCTCTCTCTCTGACAAATAAATAAAATCTTTAAAAAATAAATAAATAAATAAATAAATAAATAAAATCTTGAGAGAAAAAAAAAAGACTACATGAACCACTGTAGTTGAGCTCAGTCAGTCACTAACAGAGAGAACTGAAGCCACCGATCTGTGCCAGAAGTTGCTGGGATGACCTCTTGAGTTTGCGGTTTTCCCTTCTGTAACATGGAAGTAAAATTTAGGTGTCCTGCTCCTGTAGAATGCCTAGAAGGGAGAAAAACCCAAACATTCTTTTATCTCATAACAAGTAAGGTGCTTGTTTTTGATGATGGGGATTTTCACTGAAGAGTGCAGTGACCATTCTGTCTTTTCCCTTTACGTGATTCTTTTTTTTTTAAAGATTTTATTTATTTATTTGAGAGAGAGACAGTGAGAGAGAACATGAGCGAGGAGAAGGTCAGAGGGAGAAGCAGACTCCCCGTGGAGCTGGGAGCCCGATGCGGGACTCGATCCCGGGACTCCGGGACTCCGGGACTCCGGGATCATGACCTGAGCCGAAAGCAGTCGTCCAACCAACTGAGCCACCCAGGCGTCCCTCCCTTTACGTGATTCTAAAGCAAGGACAGTTTTGTCCTTACCTGAACTTTGTGAAGTTAACACAATGTCAGAGCTGGAAAGGATTTCAGATGATCTAAACTTCTTCCCCGATGCTGGAGCCCCTGATGTACAATACAGCCACCAAGTGACCATTCGGGGTATCTTTTTAAAAGCGGTATTGTAAAACAAAGAAACCAACCAAAATCCTCCAACTTTTGACCAGAAGAGTATCGTTCCCACAGGTACCCAACACCCATACTAAGAAATTACTACCTGCCAGATAGCATAACAGAAAACAGAATTAGGTCTGTAGGGTTTATCAACCCTTTGGCAGTCTCATTTTTTTTTTCCTAACCCAAGAATATATGTGAACATTAAACATAAAATAACTGGACTCTCTGATCTTGAAAATAAGGACCTTAGCAAAATGCAAAACAATTTTTTTAAACCTCTTACTCATTACATAACCAGGTTCAATATTGTCGAGAGAGACATCATTTACCATCCATATAAAGAATTCAAAAGCAAATAAACTGGAGCTTGTATTTAAAAAGGAAGATGGGGGTGTGCTGCTGGCTCAGTCAGCCCAGCATGTGACTCTTGATCTTGGGGTTGTGAGTTCAAGCCCCACATTGGGTGTAGAGATTATTCAAAAATAAAATCTTTAAAAAAGCTTTTTTTTAATTAAAAAAAAATAAAAAGGAAAACGGATGGCAGCTATTCCAAGGAGTAGAAAAGACTCAAGTGAATGCGACTTAGCTACTTCAAAGGATGTACTAGAAATTTTTTTAAATATAAGCTACAGTTCAGCAGCTTTAAAATTTCATGTTTATTCATATTTTTCAAAATATATGTACATAAAAAAAGGAAGATTTACAACAGGAAAGATTGCCTTACATGCAACACAAATTCCAATGGGCTCATGATGGGATCACACATGATTATGGATCTACTTCCAGCCAATCTTCTCCAGTCCATTTCCCAGCCGCACGCTAGGCTGCAGACGAGATCCCAGGAGACAATGCAAGTGGAATGAACAAAACAAATGTCTTTTGCCTCTGGCAGCACTCAAAGGGGCCAGAGGCATACACCAAAAAGTTTAAGACAATTAAAATGTCAAGTGCCACAGGGAGGGTAAATGATAACCAAAAATCAGTATTTCCCAAGTAGAAAGCTAGTACTATTAAACACAACTGCACGATACTGAAACAAATACAAATGAGGAAGGTTTAGGTAGTCGGGCTTCATTTGCCCCCCTCCTTTTTTTTAAAGTATCTCAAAAAGGAAGCCACTTGCTTGATATCAAAAGTGCTGTGGAAAGAAAGGAGGGGAAAAAAACCCACAGATGAATCTGGAATTTAGTTTATTTTAGCAAATTGTATGTTTTTCCACTTAACATTTCTACATTAGCAATGATGTAACTCTCCAACATTTCCTTATAAAAAAGGCAAACTGGAAATGACAAGTCATGCTCCAAATATTAAAAAATATATTTAAACATTTGATCAAGAAGATTTTATATGTTTTGGTTTTTGGTAACACAGGTGACACCAGAAATCACAAATTAAATGTATTCCTATATTTCTCCTTCAAAAATCAAGTGGTGGAGGGAATTTGTGCTTGCGGTTGAGGGAACACAATGCCCTGGGCCAGTGAAAAAAACCTGGAAATTGACCAATATGAAAGTGGCCCAAAGGAGTCACAGGTCTTCAGAACCTAATGAAATCATAACGTTTTTCGGCTTATTTCCAAAGCTAAGATGTCTCTGTATTTATATAATTGGAGAGAGAGAGTTAGTGGAGTGGTTTTATAAATAAGATTAATTATTACAGCTATAACTGGAGTCTCTAGGCAGAAGGCTTTACAATTGTCAGTGCTATATACCGCCTCTTGTTTACTTCCAGCACCTGACCAGCATCCTATTCATGATGCTTTCTACAAATATAAAAATCTTTGCAACTGTTTAGATAAAGCTGGAAGGGGGGAAATAAAAGCCAAAGCTGACCATAAAAAGAGGGTTGGGGTGGAGGGAGAAAAAATGACAAGTGTAGATTATACAGTTCAGGAAAATCCAGAGTTATCGCAGAAATTAAAAGGACTGAGGGAAGGGGCAGGCACCAAGAACAGCACCTAAAGCTAACAAATGCCTATATTGGTTTATTTATATTCCCTCCCCACAATGTTCATAGGGGAGGAAAAAAATGTAATTTTTAAAAGCATCAAAACTAAAACAAATGCACACTGACCTTAGAAAATAAGATTCTGAATTTTATCATGATACCCCTTTTTTTTTCCCTATAAAATTTACTTTTTTGCTTTGAAAGATTTCTTCATGTTGGATTTGCCCTTGCCGGGCAATTTCACTTCCTTTCTCACACTGGCTGCAGGCTTCTTTGAAGAGCCACCACTAGGTTTCTTGATGACTGAAGGTGAGGGTCTGGCTTTCTTGGCTGGAGTTTTAGCCTTGGGAGGGGCTTTCTTGGGCGGGGGCCTAGCTTTCCCACGCTGGGCAGCTGGGACTTTAGGTGTAGGCTTGGACACTCTCTGTTTCACAGATGCAGCCTTCATGGATGCCTTCGCTGGGGTTTTCTTCTGCAACCTGTGAGAACCAAAGAGCAAAGACCATCACTTAGTTCTTGAGAGATTCACTTTGCCAGGATGACCAGATACTTTGCCACAAAAGATCTAGCGCAGATAAAAAGCCACCTATGGAAAGGGTAGGAATGTTATTATTCTTTAAAAAAGATTTTATTTATTTGACAGAGATCACAAGTAGGCAGAAGGGCAGGTGGGGGGGGTGGGGGGAACCAGGCCCCCCCGCCAAGCAGGGAGCCCCATGTGGGGCTTGATCCCAGGACCCTGGGATCATGACCTGAGCCAAAGGCAGAGGCTTTAACCCACTGAGCCACCCAGGTGCCCCGGAATGTTATTATTTTTTAACTGGAGCCTTTACTAAGGATTCATGGAAGTCTATACGTAATTCATGATGTTTTTACTAAAAAAATACGGGATTATTTTTCTTTGAATAACCAACAAACTATGGACACACATACAGATTTGACCAAACGGTAAATTACGTATTCACAGGGCTTCCTAAGTTCAAAGCCACTGAACTTTCAAGAAGACAAGATCAAATGTTACACAAAGAACTTTCTGAGAGGGATCCGAGTTGTTCAGTCACTGTCACTATTACTGCCATTTTTACCTCCTCTTAGGTGGAGGCTCTTCATTGTCAGAGTCTTCTTCTGAGGAGTCATCCTCCTCTTCATCCTCGTCTCGTGAATCATCAAGCTCTTTCTTTGGAAATAGAACTCCCGGGCTATGAAAAGGAAAAAGGGAAGAAAAATTAGGTAAAATTAGGTCAAAGAAAAGTCCCATATAGGACAAAAGAGAAATGTGAATCTAGGTGCTATTTCGTGGACATTCAAATGCCATGTTATAAGTATCAGGTTACAGTTTAACTTATTCTGAACACACAGTTATAACAAATCTGTAAAAGTCCCAGACCATCCCTCATTCCCTTCCTCCTGCCATTTAATAAAATTGATTCTTAATCACTTGGTGAAACGATTACTTAAGCTCTTCATGTGTGTCCGGCACTGTATTGGCCACTGAATACCGAGCAGCGAACCGTCTGCACAGCACTACACGTTTTGCCCTCCTGATACCGGCAAAGACCTCAAAATAATATAAAGGCTGAATCTCTTCAAGTTTTAGAGAAATACAGCGAGGACTTTCTATTTTCTTTGCCCTTACTGATAAAAACATTGATCTCATTGATTAATAATTCCTTAAATTATAACATTTTATGTGCTTGACTTTAAGAATTAAATTTAATGTCTGAGAACTTTAAGTAATACGCAACCTGGGTGGCTCAGTGGGTTAAGCCTTTGCCTTCAGCCCAGGTCATGATCCCAGGATCCTGGGATCGAGTCCTGCATTGGGCTCTCTGCTCGGCAGGGAGGCTGCTTTCCCCTCTCCCTCTCTGCCTGCCTCTCTGCCTACTTGTGATCTCTGTCAAATAAATAAAATCTTTAAAAAAAATTAAAAAAAAAAAATAAAATAGGGTTTTAGTGGTACATGTCACAGCACTTTACAAGAAATGAGAGCATAAGAAGGCCATCACATGGGCACAAAGGACAGTGCTTGGCCCATGGGAGGTGCTCAACTTATTTTTTTAGTGCAGTAATAAATAAAGGTAAGGGGCGCCTGGGTGGCTCAGTGGGTTAAAGCCTCTGCCTTCGGCTCGGGTCATGATCCCAGGGTCCTGGGATCGAGCCCTGCATCGGGCTCTCTGCTCAGAGGGGAGCCTGCTTCCTCCTCTCTCTGCCTGCCTCTCTGCCTCCTTGTGATTTCTGTCTGTCAAATAAATAAATAAATATTTAAATAAATAAAGAAAGAAAGATAAAAGAGGTTTTCAAGGAAATGGCCTCTATAGTATGGAGAAGGCAAATCAGGATTCTTGGAAGCAGCCAATGCTCTTTCTCCTTGAACAATTGACAATTAAAAACAAAACAAAACAAAACAAAGATTTATTTATTTATTTATTTGTTGTGAGAGAGCGAGCGAGTGAGCATGAGCAGGGGGAGATGTAGATGGAGAGGGAGAAGCAGACTCCCCACTGAGCAAGGATCCCGATGTGGGACTCAATCCTAGGATCCTGAGATCACCACCTGAGCCTAAGGCAGATGCTCAACAGACTGAGCCACCCAGGCACCCTGAATGATGGACAACTAAAACATACCCAATCCTCTAATAATCTTTTTCTCATTAGCATTTACTTAATAAAGAAGGACTGAACATAAAAATGGCCAAGGAGCTCAAAGAATTCAATGCCTGATTGTAGGAACGGATGGCTAACGATAAGCTCTGGCAGGGCAGCCCAAATCCTGACTCCTACATGAAAAGCTTTTACTCTAAAACCATATTGCCTTAGGTAGGTGACTCAGTCGGCTAAGCATCCAACTCTTGGCTTTGGCTCAGATCATGATATCAGGGGTCATGAGACTGAGCTCTGAGTTAGGCTCTATGCTTAGTGTGGGAGTCTGCTTGAGATTATCTCTCAAGGTCCTGGGATCAAGCCCCGTATCAGGTTCTCTGCTCAGCAGGGAGCCTGCTTCCCCACCACCACCCCCGCCTCTCTGCCTACTGGTGATCTCTGTATGTCAAATAAATAAATAAAATCTTAAACAAACAAACAAACAAAACCAAAACAATACTGCCTCAAGTAGTCTTTACTTTCAAGTAGAACAGTAACAAGTTAATAAGTTAAAAGCCCAAGCCTGTAACCTGGAATCAGATTTTAAATTTACAATGACCAACACTTCACATTATGGGCTAGCTGCTTACCTGGGATAATAAGGAAAACAGAGCTGGAAGGTGCCACTGAATCCTTTGCCAGAGATCTGTTCCATCCACCCATTCTTTTCACATTTCTGCAGTGTTTTCTTCAGCAAATGCACTGAACAAAAAATTCATAAAGAAAGTTGTTTATTAAATTTGGTAATTACCTCAACTCTGATTAGTTATATATCAATTTACTGTCCTGTCACAGATACTAGTTGACATGTGCTAAGGGAATTCTTTGTGGTCAAAGGGATGAATAATTCACTAAACAATTAAGTGCCCATAAATTTGAAAAGGTTAAACTGTCACAGCAAGAGATTTAGAGACCATTAAGCCAAGTTCCGAATTTCACAGAAAGGAAAACAGGAGCGCAGAGTGGTCACTTGCCCTACAGTGGCACAAAAATGATTAAGAACCAACTTAAAACTACATCTCTCATCTCCATTCATTCGAACATCCCTTGAATGCCCATCTGTACTAGGAAAATCATCTAGGAGAATATCGATAAAGAGTAGTATCACAGCAAACCACAGAATAATACTATGGCTTCTAAAGGCCTCACCGATTCTCATCTTTCATACAGAGACACATCAAAACTACATTTTATGGTGATTCAGTGTCCAAAACACAGTAGCAGTATCAGTGAAATTGAAAAGGTTAATAACCAACTTCATCTTCTCTTCTAATACTCAACCAAAAGGGAAAATCATGAAATGGTTTGTAAAGGGTCAGCAGACACAGTAAACACAGTACATATTTTAAGGAAGGAAAGATTAAAAAAAGTCACAGCAGTTTTCAAAGTAATGCATGAAAAAAATGACCAGAAAGCATTCTTCCGTAACATTAAAAAATTCATACTGCATATATGCTCAGTCACTTAATATTAAGGCTTCAAAAGTACTTTTAATTAAAATAATACAGTCTAGTTTGCATTTTGTTACTTATTTTCCACATTCTTTACCTACACCACTATGCCTAGTCTAGCACCGCACTGAGAAAACACCCAGCCACATTACTCCATATGTGATGGTGCTGCTAGGATGAGACTTTGAATCACAAACACTACCTGACAGGGTAAACACACTTTACTGGAAAAAAAAAAAAAGCATTTTCTGTTTTAGGGCTTAAAAGGCAATGAGAAATAGCAAGTCATATTTTAAAACACCGGCTTGGTTTCAAGGTGAAATTAGATGTTTTAGTAAATATTCAGAAAGGCAAAAACAAACTATACTTGAGAGGTGTCCTGAACCAAGGATTTATTTAAATTACAACAAAAATGAGAAAAACCTTTACAGCGAAATAAAATCAAATCCTGATCTTCAATAGAGATTGTAAAAATTAAGGAAAAGGGGACGCCTGGGTGGTTCAGTGGGTTAAGCGGCTGCCTTCGGCTCAAGTCATGAGCCCACGGTCCTGGGATCAAGCCCCGAATCGGGCTCTCTGCTCATCGGGGAGCCTGCTTCCTCCTCTCTCTGCCTATCTCTCTGCCTACTTGTGATCTCTGTCAAATAAATAAATAAAATATTTTAAAAAATTAAGGAAAAGCTTTGATAATTTTTCTTTTTGTAAATAATAAATCTGTAAAGTTGTTGTTCCCTCTTGGTTTCACAGTCGGCACTTAATGCTTTGTCATTAACAGCACGGGCTCTAAAATGTTTCACAAGATAATTCCCCTGAGCCCAGTCACGGCATACAACTCTGAGTCTTACTTTGATAGTTAGAATTGGTCCCTGGGTGGTTCTCCAGGACATACTTCTTCAGAGCAGTGGTTGAGCAGGTCTTCGGCTCATTCATGGCAGCAATGGCAGACAAGATTGCATATTCCATCAGGCTTCCACCAAGCAGGGGTTTCTCCCCTGATTTCTTCAGCTGTTTTCCAAGGAGGAAGAGAAAAGCATCAAGACAACACTCTCCCAAAGCAGGTCAAGACAAGACTCCTCTGCACCAGGTGGGTCGGAGTTCCTGCATTAGCACAGATATGTTTTACAATAAATTGTCAGGTTAGGGACTTTCTCTTCCCATTTATCAGGTATTCAATCTGACTGAGGAGTCCCAACCCTCCTATGGCCTCTCCTCTCTCCATTCACCCTTCCATCCAACCTAAAACAGCAACAGCTACCCTAACTCAAACAGAGTAACTGTTCTCCCCCAATAAGCAAGTTAACTTGTTATGCCCCAATAAATAAGATACTTTTGAGAATACTTCCTTTGTCCCAATCTGAAAAATACAGTAGTTATATATATATAAAAAAAATAACCTTTTTACTCCTTCAAGGAAAACAGCAAAGGAAAAGTTTAATAACTATTTATGGTATCATACAACAGAAAATCACATAGCATATTCCAAGGACAAAAGGATGGTGAACAAAGATCAGTACCAATAATCAAAAAGGGTAAAAGGACAAACTCAGGTATGGTCTACAACTGAGATTCTCAAAGAGCAGTCTACAAATTCTCCGGGGTTCCTGAGACTCTTTCAGAGGATGTGTAAGGTCAGAACAATTTTCATAATAATACTAAGATGTGATGTGCCTTTTTCGCTGTGGTGACATTTGCACTAATGGTAGAAAAGCAATGGTGGGCAAAACTGTTGCCACCTTACCACAAATCAAGGAGGAGACAAAAAAATGTACCAACAGTTATTGTATTCTTTATTGCTATGCACTGTGTTTAAAAAAAAATAATAAAAAGTCAATTTCACTTAGGAATGCCTTTAATGAAGTAGCAAAAATTATTTTATTGAATCTCAACCACAGTGCACTTTTTTTGCTATTTTATGGGATGAGATGGGAGGAACACATAAAGCCTATCGGCTGCATTGGAGGTATGACGGTGGTCTCAAGGACAAGCACCCTCAGTGACTGAGCTGTGAGCTGAACTAGCTGCATTACTCATGGAACACCCTTTCTTACTTGATGGAACAACAAACAGATAAATTATAGTTATTTAGGACTTGGGATCCTGGTAGATATTTTCTTAAAAATGTATTAAATAAGTGTCTCGTTCCTCCAAGGAAAACTAGCAATATTTGTTACCAAGCATAAAAAGCAGTTTTTAAAAAAAAAAAATTATTTATTTGAGAGAGAGAGATAGAGTGTGACAGTGGAGAGGTCAGAGGGAGAGCAGACTCCCCACCAAGCAGGGAGCCCGATGTGGGACTCAATCCTGGGACTCCAAGATCATGACCTGAGCCGAAGGCAGTTGCTTAACCAACTGACCGACCCAGGTGCCTCTAAAAAGCAATTAAAAAAAAAAAAAAAGCAATTTTTAAAGAAAAATTTTAAATCACAGAACACTTGTATTTACACCATGGTGAGCCTGGTTAATTTCCCAGTACTTAAATACTGTTCTGATGAGGTCAGCAGGTAATATAATGTTACTTTTGTTATTATTTGATGAAATGTGATAATATTTTACTAAGCTACATAATTCAGTGAACCACTATTTTCCAAATGATCCTGTTATGAAACTATGCCTGGTTAGAAGATCCACTCCAAGTTCAAGACCAAATGATTTTAAGGGCAAGAATAAAAATTTCACTCATATGGTCTCAGGTTCTACATGGCAACTAATCTTTAAGGAATTACTACAAAATCAGTTAATGTAATACATGATATTAACAGGATAAAGGACAAAAACCACATGACCATCTCAAGAGACACAGAAAAATCATCTGACAAACCCAACAGCTGTTCACAATAAAAACTCCCAGCAATCAAGTAATAGAGGAAAATATTTTCTCAACTTGGTAAGAGGCATCATGAAAAACCTACAGCTAATTTAATGGTGGAAGATTTGATGTTTTTCCCTCTAAAATGGGGAACAAGATAAGGATGTCTGTTCTCATCACTGTCCTGGAGGTTCTAGCCAGTACAATTAGGCAAGAAAAAAGCAAAACAAAACATCTAGATTGGAAAGGTAGAAGTAAAACTGTCTTTATCTGCAAACAATATGACTCTGTATGTAGAATATCCCAGGGAGTCCACAAAAAAATCCTAAGGAGCCTACAAGAAAACTACCAGAACAGTAAATGAGTTCAGCGAAGTTGAATTAATATAAAATCAATAGACAAATCAATTGTATAAAATCAGTAGACAAATCAATTGTATTTCCACAGATTAGCAATATCCAGAAGTCAAAGTATTTCCATTCACAATAACATGGAAAAAGAATAAAATACTTAGGAATAAACTCAACAAAAGAAATCGAAGATCTTTATACTACAAAATGCTGCTGGAAAAGTTAAAGCTCTGAATAAACAAAACTTCATGAACTAGAAAAATCAGTATTATAAGGATAATGATTCTTCTCAAATTGATATACAGGTTCAATGCAATCTCTACCAAAATCCTAGCTGGCTTTGTGAAAACTGACAAATTCATATAGAAATGCACAAGACCCAGAATAATCAAAACATTTTTTTTTAAACTACACTTTAACATTTCCCAGTTTCAGAACTTACTGCAAAATTTTCAAAGCTATAGTCATCAAAACAGTGTGACCCTGGCATAAGAATTCACATATAGGGATGCCTGGATGGCTCAGTCGGTTAAGTGACTGCCTTCAGCTCAGGTCATGAGCCCAGGGTCCTAGGATCGAGTCCCACATCGGTTCTCCGCCTCCCCCTGTTCATGCTCTCTCTTGCTATCTCTCTTTTTAAATAAGTAAATAAAATATCAAAAAAAAAAAAAATTCACATGTAGATCAATGGGACAAAATTTACAGTTCAGAAATAAACCCTTACCATTTACAGTCAATTGTTTTTTTTATAAAATGCCAAGGCAATTCAGTGGGCAAAGGACAGTCTTTTCAATAAATAATGTTAGGACAAGTGGATATCCCCATGCAAGAATATAAATATTTATATCCTCACCTCACCTCACCTATTTATACCACAAATAAAATTCAAAATGGATAGGCCTAAATGCAAGAGCTGAAACTACTTAAAAAACCATAGTAGTAAATCTTGTGATTTTAAGTTAGGTGGTGATTTATTAATTACAACACCAAAAGCAGAGGCCATTTAAAAAAATGATCACCTGGCTTTCATCAAAATTAAATACTTTTGCACTTCAAAAGACACGATTAGGAAAGTGAAAGCATAGACCACAGAGTTAAGAGAAAATATTTGCAAATCATATATCTAGTGAGGAACTTATATCTAGTTACGTAAGTTTTATATCTCAGTAAGATAATCCAACTGTAAAAACAGGAAAAGTAATTAAAGAGACATTTTACCAGAAAAGATAAACATATGTCCATTAAGCACATGAGAAGATGGTCAACATCAGCAATCAGGAGGGAAAGGCCAACGCAAACCACAATGAAATGACACTTTCTATCCACCAGTATGGCTAGCATTTTAAAGACAGTAACAAGTGTCTGCGAAGATACGGAGAAATTAGAACCCTTACACTTTGTTGGTGGGAATGTAAAATAATGCAGCCACTCTGGGAGTTTCTTACAACATAAATTTACCATACAGTCCAGCAAGTCCACACTCCTAGTTATGTATCCATGTGAAAAAAAATATGTGTCTGAACAAAGATTGAGATGTAAATGCTCATTGGCAACATTACTCAGAAGAGTAAAAACAGTGGAAATAACCCCAATTTTCATCAACTTGTGAATAAACAGAGTGTTAGATTCATACAGCGGGATACCATGCGGCAATACAAAGGAATGGAAAGCATGGATTCACGCTGCAACACGGACAAGGCTCAAACAAGACTGCGCTAAGTGAAAGAGGCCAGACACAAAAGCCACATACTGTATGACTCTATCCATATGAACATGTAGAAAAGGCAAATCTATATAAAGAGAAAGTCCATTAGTAGGTTGGCTGAGAATGAGAATGGGGAGAGACTCCAAGTGGGCACAAGAGAGCTTTCTGGGTGAGGAAAATGTTCTAAAACTGGATTGTGGTGATGGCTGTACGACTTTGCAAATTTACTAAAAAATTATGAATTATAAATCATAATTTAAAATAAATGTATTTTGGGGCACCTGGGTGGCTCAGTGGGTTAAAGCCTGCTCTCTCTCTGCCTGCCTCTCTGCCTGCTTGTGATCTCTCTCAAATAAATTAATAAATATAATCTTAAAAAAAAAATAATAAAGGGGCACCTGGGTGGCTCAGTGGCTTAAGGCCTCTGCCTTCGGCTCAGGTCATGATCTCAGGGTCCTCGGATCCAGCCCCGCATCAGGCTCTCTGCTCAGCGGGGAGCCTGCTTCCCCCCCTCTCTGCCTGCCTCTCTGCCTACTTGTGATTTCTGTCAAATAAATAAATAAAATATTTTAAAATAATAAAAATAAAATAAATGTATTTTATAATATAAACCATACTTCAATAAAGCTATTAAAAAATTATCATTTGTTCCAACTCTTGGTTTTGGCTCAGGTCATGACCTCAGAGTGGTGAGATCTGAGCCGTGGGTGGGGCCCTGCACTCAGTGAGAGGTCTACTTGTCCCACACCCTCCCTCCCTGTCCCTCTCACCCCCTACATGCTCAACAGCTCTCTAATAAATAAATATATATTTTTAAAATTATCACCTGTTGAGTTTTCATATAGGATCAAAGAATAACGTCCACAACTGTTTAAAAATTATCTGAAAATACTCCACACTTTTCTAACTGTATTACTATGTGTGGTGAATTTTCTTCAGATACAACTCAAAATGTGTTGAACAGGTAGATACCAGCTGTCTTCTCTTCACCAAGATATTAAAGACTTTTGCAAGTTTTTAATAAACAGTACCTTTCTTCTCTTCTCATTCAATTTTTTTGTTTTGGCAAATATAGTTATTTTTCACAAAAAATTTTATCATTTATGTTAATGCGAAAATTTTTTTAAAAATTTAATATTTAAAAGTTCCCTCAGTTTTAATCTCTAACACCATAAATATTGACAGGTATAACCCACATAAAAAAAACCTCTTGGGGTCCTCAAATTTTTAGTGTAAGGAGGTCCTGAAATCAAACTTCTGAGAACCACTTCTCTACAATCCTTTTCAGCCTCTAACCTGGAATGTCCCAGAAGCACCTTTGCCAGTTATTTGTTCTAACTGGCCTCTCTCTACTGCTCTCTGCAGAGCATTCTTCAACAGCTGAGGCCTGCAGAGAAAACAAAAGAATAGCAATCAATACATCAATGAAGGAGAGATTTGAAGAAACAAATCCAGGGCTATTCCCTGAACTGTGTTCTTAATTCTTATTATATGTGCTACTTTGTTAAAATGGACAATAATATAAAGTACTGGCACCCTTAACACAAGTGGCGTTCTTTTTTTCTTTGAGCAAAGAAGTCACTACCCAGATACACAGAACCATATACCACACACAACCAATTTCTGAACTTCAAGACACTCCAAACACCCTCCATTTATTTTCATCAACAACAGTGGCAACCAAACCATGTAATCAAGCAAAGCATGGGTATGTTTAAAGGTCCCATTCAAGGGGCGCCTGGGTGGCTTACTGGGTTAAGCCTCTGCCTTTGGCTTGGGTCATGATCTCAGGGTCCTGGCACGAGGCCTATGTGGGGCTCCCTGCTCAGTGGGGAGACTTCTTCCCCCTCTTCCTCTGCCTACGTCTCTGCCTACTTGTGATCTCTGTCAAATAAATAAATAAATAAAATCTTGGGGAAAAAAAATCTCAGAATGGCCCATTCTTTCACCACTGCCATAATCTTAGTACCAGCTACCATGCCCTCCCTTCTGGGCACTGTGCTGCTTTCTGTTTTCATAATGCATATCACTATTAGGTCAATACACCTATGAAGGTATAGACACCTATGTATAACACCTTTATGATGTTACTCAACTGATGAGGTGTCAGGGTCCTAATGCCTCAACCCAGCTTCAAAGCCTTCCATGACGTAATCCCACTTCTTATTAGTCTAGATGCAGTCAGACCCTTTAGTTATCAAAAAGAATGCCAACTCCTGCCACTGCAATTGTCTCATGAGGCTCCTTTAAGAATGCCTTCCCCACTCCACCATCCATCTAAATTCTACACCCTTGGGATACCTGCGTCACTCATATCGATTAAGCGTCTGCCTTTGGCTCAGGTCATGGTCCTAGGGTCCTGGGATGGAGTCCTGCATCAGCCTCCTTGCTTAGTGGGGAGCCTACTTTTCCCTCTGAATGCAGCTCCCCCTGCTTATGCGCACTCTCTCCCCCCTGCCAAATAAATAAAATCTTAAAAGAAAAAAAAATTCTACTTTCTTCCAGATCTGATCAAGCCCCATCTCTTTAACTTAGCGCTAATTCGCAGGCACAGATCCTTGTTCTGAAAAATTCTAAAGTCTGTATCACACCATTCTGCACTTACTAAGATGCCAAATGCTATCTGACATGCTTTATTTGCATGGAATAAACTAGAAAATACAACAAATCCAAGAAACAGGTACTATTACTGCCCATACTTTACTGATGGGGAAAAGCTGAGTGACACAGAAAAGTCATTTCTCCAAGGTCACAGAGCTAGGCAGTGGAAGAACCAGTTACAAATTTAGACAATCTGATTCCAGATTCTACAATCTTGCTCACTATGCTATGCTTGCATTTTCCAATAAAAGATACCCAGAACAGTGGAAAAAGCAGGAAGTATGAAATTGAAAAACAAAATAAAAGTTCTGGCTTTACCAGTGAACAGTCAGGTAACCCCAGGTAAGGAAAATTGGGATTGGGATATGTATTTTTAAGTCTATTTTAAGAATTATGGAAAACAGTGTAAACAAAAGTGTTTTATACTATAAAGTGCTATATACCTTTAAGGGACTTTTTATTCTTATTAACAAGTTTTGTTCTTAATTAGATCATTATACCACTTTAATTAGAAGCAGGGAATAATGGGTGACTGCTGATAGCCATGTTTTTCAACTGTGGAGAAAATCAGTCTGCACTGAGGGATATAAAAATGAAAGCCATGCACAGAGAGAACCAAAGGTAAGGGATGGAAAACAAAAATGCAGCTGACAGCAAGGATTCTGAGTTGGAAGCATCTGAATAAGAACGTTACATCAGGGATGCCTGCATGGCTTAGTCATTAAGAGTCTGCCTTCGGCTCCGGTCATGAACCCCGAACCCCGCGTTCTGGGATCAAGCCCCACATCAGGCTCCCTGTTCGAGGGAAGCCTGCTTCTCCCTCTCCCACTCCCTGCCTCTGTTCCCTCTCTCACTGTCTCTGTCAGTTAAATAAATAAATAAAAATCTTTAAAAAGAAAGAAAGTTACCATCAGTCTGGCAGAAATGCATTAAATGGGGCGCCTGGGTGGCTCAGTCTGTTAAGTGTCTGCCTTCAGCTTGGGTCATGATCCCAGCGTCCTGGGATCAAGTCCTGCATCAAATCCCTGCTCAGCGGGGAACCTGCTTCTCTCTCTCCTTCTGTCCTTCCTCCCTGCTCATCCTCACCTTTTCTTGTGCTCTCTCAAATAAATAAAATCTTAAAAAAAAAAAAAAAGAAATCCATAAATGGAATTAAGAACATCAAAAAACTCTTGAGGGGCGCCTGGGTGGCTCAGTGGGTTAAAGCCTCTGCCTTCAGCTCGGGTCATGATCCAGGGTCCTGGGATCGAGCCCCACATCGGGCTCTCTGCTTGTCAGGGAGCCTGCTTCCCCTCCTCTCTCTCTGCCTGCCTCTCTGCCTACTTGTGATCTCTGTCAAATAAATAAAAATAAATTTAAAAAAATATATTAAAAAAAAAAAAAAAAAACTCTTGAAATGAGTGTTGAAAATGTTAGGAAAGGTCACCAAAGACATTAAAAAGTTTAGAGAAAAGTATAAGGCATACACGGAATCTTGCGCTATTTTCTTATTCTGGTGGAGGCAGAAAAAAAAAAAATCAAAAAGACAATATAAATTTATACCAGACAGAATGATTCCTAATGCCTTGGAAAGTTTTTTAAAATTTTATTTATTTGACAGAGCGAGAGAGGGTGTGTGCATGTAACGAACAGGGGGAACAGCAGAGGGAGAGGGAGAAGCAGGCTCTCTGCTGAGCAGGGAGCCCAATGTAGGGCTCAATCCCAGAACCCTGGGATCGTGACCTGAGCTGAAGGGACCATGATGCTTGACTAACTGAGCCTCTACCCTTGAGAGTTCTAAAGGTATCTTCCTAGAATAAACCCCAAATCTTCGTAAACCCAACATACCCAGTTTTTAATTTAGAGTTGCAAAAAATCATTGCTACCAAATTAAAGAAGTGACTTACATATTATATAAAAACACTGTCTTTTTAAATTTATATATTTTTAAAGATTTTATTTATTTATTTGACAGACAGAGATCACAAGTAAGCAGAGAGGGGTAAGCAGGCTTTCCGCTGAGCAGAAAGCCCGATGAGGGGCTCAATCCCAGGACCCTCGGACCATGACCTGAGCCGAAGGCAGAGGCCCAACCCACTGAGCCACCCAGGCACCCCTATATTTTAATTTTTTTTCAAAGATTTATTTTTTTTTTAAGATCTTATTTATTTATTTGACAGAAAGAGATCACAAGTAGGCAGAGACGCAGGCAGAGAGAGAGGAGGAAGCAGGCTCCCTGCTGAGCAGAGAGCCTGATGTGGAGCTGGATCCCAGGACCCTGGGATCATGACCTGAGCTGAAGGCAGAGGCTTTAACCCACTGAGCCACCCAGGTGCCCCCAAAGATTTATTTATTTGACAGAGACCGCAAGAGAGGGAACAGAAGCAAGGGGAGTGGGAGAGGGAGAAGTAGGCTTCTCGCTGAGCAGGGAAGCCCAATGTGGGGCTCCATCCCAGGACCCTGGGATCATGACCTGAGCTGAAGGCAGACGCTTAATGACGGAGCCACCCAGATGCTCCCAAATTTAAGGTTTTTTAGAGAGAGAGAACGGGGGGTGGGGAGAGGCAGAGAGGGAGAAAGAGAATCTTAGGCAGTCCCCACACCCAGCATGGAGCCCCACATGGGGCTTGATCTCACAACCCTGATCTCATGATCTGAACAGCAATTAAGAGTGGGAAGCTTAACTGACTGAGCCACCCAGGTGCCCCTAAAAAAATACTCCTTGAACATTAAAATCGTATTTAGCACAGTGTAATGCTCATACTGTAAGAATGATGTTGGAACTGAGACTGAAAATATTAACATGAGTTGAGCGCTACCTATATGCCAGGCACTGTTCTAAGAGTTTAACATGTGCTAAGAGATTTGAGCCTCCTAACAACCTTATCAATACACTGCTTATCAATGAGGAAACTGAGACACAAAGGGATAACTTACTTAGTGATACAAAGCTAGAAAATGACAGAATCGGGATTTAAACCTAAGGGGTCTGGTTCCGAAGTCTGTACTCTTAACCACAGTGCTATTACAGCCTCTAGGTATATGGGAGAAGAAATTCACGTCTCATCTCACACGCTCCAGGACACAGGCTCCTTGTGGAATGGCCAGGTGAAAAGCCCATGTTCATTCATTCATTCACTTATTCAACTAATATTTACTGAGCATCTACTATGTGTTAGGCTTGGAGGAAACAAAAGTGAACAATTTAAATAAAAATCCTGGCCTTCAGGATTCTGACATTTTAATGGGGTAGGCAGGTAATTTTAGAAAGACTAGGCAGATGTAGCATATGTTAGAATGTGATGAGAGGTATGGAGAAAAATAAAGCTTCAGAGAAGTAGCATTCTGAATCCTGGGAGAGAAGGGAAAGGCTGCAGATGTATTTTGGGTGGGGCCATCAATAAAATGCAGTGTATGGGCCATGGCTGGATATTGACTGGAACAAAACTACAAAAAGTCATCTTGGAGGACACTGAACATGGCCCGCACATTAGCTGTTAAGAACTTAAATAATGTTAGTATGATGGTTTTGTTCTCACTGCATTTATGTGTATGTTTGTAAATTTCCAAAATAAAAGGATTAAAAAAAAAAAAGGGAAGGCAATCATGGCAGAGTCAAGGCACTCTATCGATGACATTAGAGCAAAACCTGATGGTAGTGAAGGCCAAGTGGATTATGGGGGAAACCATCCAGGCAAAGGGAACAGCAAGCATGCAGACTCTGATGCCAGTTACGTGAGGGAAGGGTAGTGGTGGTTTGGTCAGAGAAGCAATGAAGTGTAGTGTCTTGTATACTGTTTTCAGAGACTCTGGCTTTAATTATGTGGGGGTTGGGAAGCCACTAGAAGGTAGAGTGGCAAGGGGATATGATCTATCTTATATTTTTACAAGTCCCACTCTCACTGCTATGCTAAAAACACACTGAAGGGGAGGGAGCGTGAGAGGCACAGTTAGGAAGTTATTGCTGTAATACAAGTTAGAGACGATGGTGGCTTGGAAGAGAGCGGTAACAGTGGAGGTAATGAGAAGAGGTCTGTTTATGGTAATATCTTAAAGCCAAATCCAAAGTAATTGCTTACAGATTAGATGGAGGTGTGGAATAAATGGAAGAGACTATCATAAAAGCAATGTTTCTGGCTTCAGCACCTAGAAAGATGATGTCGCCATTAACCGAGGTGGAGAAGATACGGAAGACACAAAACTTTTTGGGGAGGGGTTCAAGAGCTCAGTTCTGAACATGTAAAGTTAGAAACACAAGTAGTGACAGGAAATAAGCATCTGTCTATGTGAATGTGCAGCCAGGAGGGAGGTATGGGCTAGATTTATATATCTGTGAGTTAGTAGTGTCCAGCTTTGACAGTAAAAAAGAATTACCAAGCGAATGTGGATAGAAAAGACAAGAAGGAAGCCTGGCCAGCTAGCTCAGTCAGAAGAGCCTGAGACTCTTGATCTCAGCATCAGGAGTCTGAACTCCATATTGGGTATAGAGATCACTGAAAAACAAAAACAAAAACACTAAACAAAACAGAAACCAAACAAGTAAAAAACAAAAAAAAGACAAGAGACCTACAATCTAATCCTTAGGAGACTGAGAAAGAATGGGTAGTGAAGTTGGAAGAAAATCAGGAAGATAGGCTGTCCTAGAAGGCAAGTGAAGAAAGTAAAGAAAGGAAGGACAGGAGTTCGTGAATACATTAAGTCAATGCCAGTGAAAGACCAGCAAGTAAATTAAGGACTATGAATGGACTACTAAAATTTACAACATGGACGTCACCTGTGGCAATGACAGGAAAAAGTATTTCAGGTAAGATGGTTGAGAGTGAAGTGTGACAAAAGTGGGTTTAAAAAAAGGTAGGAGGGGAAGGGCACCTGGGTGGCTCAGTCGTTAAACGTCTGCCTTCAGCTCAGGTCATGATCACAGGATCCTGGGATCAAGCCCTGCATTGGGCTCTCTGCTCAGCAGGAAGCCTGCTTCTCCCTTCCTCACTCCCCCTGCTTGTGTTCCCTCTCTCGCTGTCTCTCTGTCAAATAAATAAATTCTTAAAAAAAAAAAAAAAAGTAAGGGGAAAGGAGTGCTTGGCAGGCTCAGTCAATAGAGCATACAACTCGGGGTCATGATCTCAGGAGCATAATCTCAGGGTTGTGAGTTCAAGCCTCACATTGGGTGTAGAGCTTATTTAAGAAGAATAAATAAAATTAAAAACAGAAAAGGGCAGGAGGGGGAAAACTGTAGACATCAAGTACAAATAACTTGTACTTTAAAACTGCATTTTTGGGGCACCTGGGTGGCTCAGTGGGTTTAGCCTCTGCCTTTGGCTCAGGTCATAATCTCGGGGTCCTAGGATTGAGCCCCGAAATGGGCTCTCTGCTCAGCAGGGGCCCTGCTCCCCGCCCCACCTTCTGCCTGCCTCTCTGCCTACTTGTGATCTTTCTCTCTGTCAAATAAATAAATAAAATCTTTAAAATAAAATGAAATAAAACTGCATTTTTTTTGCTCTCTTGACCAAGTCTAACCACAGCTAAATTGTCATGTTAATTGTATGTACGACAGGATTGCACTACAGTCAGAGACAAAATCATTATGGTGTCACAGCAGTAAAAAGAAAAAGGGTTTCAAAAGAAAAAGTTATCGGGTGCCTGGGTGGCTCAGTTGGTTAAGCGACTGCCTTCGGCTCCTGGAATCCCAGGATCGAGACCCACATCAGGCTCCCAGCTCCCAGAACCAAAGGTGAGGGATGACCTTCTCCCCTCTCATGCTCTCTCTCTCAAATAAATAAAATCCTAAAAAAAAAAAAAAGTTATCATTAATAAGGTCATAGATAAAGATCTTCAGGTTTTTTACCATTATGGGTTGGTAACCCATCTATTATCAGACAAATTTTGTTTCAACATAAGACGATGACGAGAAATGTTCCTAAAGATTAGATGCAGAGTGAAGTTCTGCTGCTAGCAACAACCTGTCTCCTGTGAGAAGAGCAGTATGGTAAGGAAAGAAAAAAGCTGGGAGGTGATAAGGTCTCTAGCCACCAGAGAGTAAAGAGCAATGAACGTGAAATGTGTTTCCATCTTTAAATGCATCGTACATGCATCATACGTGCATTTCTAGCTCACAGCTCTATCTGTGGGTCATACTCAGCAGAAAAAGCATGAAAAAATCAGGATATTAATTTCAAACTTTGTGCTTCTATGATTCTCTTTTCTTTTGTACCATTTCATTGACTCTTTAATTGGGCACTCTGAAGATCACGAAGTGGTTTTCTGAAAATGTGGCGTCTGGGTTGAAACTTCAGCAATTCTAATCACAGGCCTCAGTAATGCAAGTACATACTGGAGCTAAACAGTAAAGGACAATGTGCACGCAAGACAGAAATCACAGAAATGACTCTGGATTGGAAGACAATTCTCTAAAAGTCATATAACAAAGATCTCACATAAACACACTTAAAACACAAACTCTGCGAATTATAAATTTAAACAATATGTCTGCATGAATCCACAAACTAGCACATGTTGACAGTCTAAATTATCATTCTACATATTTTTAAGTAGCAAATTTTTTAGCAATGAATTACTACCAAAATTCTCCCAGAACTCTACCTTAAATGTTTAAATGACAAAGACAGTACTGTCTCTGTAAAGGTTTTTGGAAACCTGAATTCTCTTACGTTTCAAACTCTAAATAAAAAATAGAGCATACACCAATCACCTCATACCAACTGAGGATAACTAATATCAAAATACCAGAAAAACAGGGGTTGGCGAGGACATGGGAAAATCAGAACCCTTGTGCACTGTTGGCTGGAATGTAAAATGATACAGCCACTGTGTGAAACAGTACAGCAGTTTCTCAAAAAAATAAATACTAAAATTATTGTATCATCTAGCAATTCCACTCTTGGGTATAGACCCTTAAGCACTGAAAGCAAGATTTTAAAGAGATGTTAGTACATCTCTAGTCATAGCAGCATTATTCACAAGAGCCGGAATGTTAAATTCAACCCAAGCATTAAATGTTAAAGTCAACCCAAGCATCCCTTTTTATTTTTAAAGATTTATTTATCTGTCAGAGAGAGATACTGAGAGACAGAAGGAGAGAGCGTGTACACAGGCTAACAAGCAGGGGGAGCAACAGGCAGAGGGAGAAGTAGGCTTCCTGACAAGAAAGGAGCCTAATGGGGATTTCAATCCCAGGACCCTGAGATCATGACCTGAGCCGAAGGCAGACTGAGCCACCCAGGTGCCCCTAAAATGTTCTCCTTCTTGAATATTTACTCTTTCTCCTTTCTCATGAGAAAGGGGGCTAAGGGAATAACACAGACATCTGTATATTGAAGTCTAGGCAAACAGCTCATACCTGATGTCCACTCTAAGTTTAGGGTAATACTGAGACACGTATTTCCTGATGAGACTGTAGGAAGCTTCTTTAGGTTCACAAAGGCGAGTAAAGGCCAATGGGAGAATATCCTCCAACTTTACTTGTGGTTCTGGATCCACTGCAGAGTTTCTGTTCTGAAATATAATATCAAAAATTATCATCATTACAGAATATGAAGTTCTCTGTTCGAATGCTTCTATATTCAACTCAAGGGCTTACCTAAATTGACTGCTAAATCAATTGCAGAATACTATCACTTTTTTCCACATTCAACTAAATATACCACAGGGGTTAGTATAATGGCACTTGTGTGGCAACTTATTTGAGATAAGAACTTCAGATTGAGAGTTAAAATATGTATAAATATGAAAAGAGGGGAGCCCCAGTGTCTCAGTAGGTGAAGTATCCGACTCCTGATTTCAGCTCAGGTCATGATCTCAGGGTTGCGAGAGCAAGCCCCAGACCGGGCTCTGCACTGTGTGTGGAGCTTAAGATTCTCCCTCTCCCTCTGCCCCTCCCTCTCTTAAAAAAAAGAAAGAAAGAAAGAAAAAGAAATGTTAGACTTTAATTAAAGGTCCTAGTTTATCCTTAGCCTTCAATAACAAAGAATCAAAAGGAGCACACAGCACCAAAAAAGCTCTGTAAAGAGTTTATTTCATTCAAAGTTTTAGAAAAAAAGTACAAAAATCTTTGGAGTTGCAAAAACACAGACATAGAGAAATAGTCATGATTTCAGTTACTGACATAGAGGAAATACTACATATTTCACTTTATTATAGTACAAATACTTTCCATAAATGAAAATATGTATCTCAAGGAACAGAAGTGTTAGTATGCACAAAAAAGAAAAGGAAAAGGAAGAGGAAAAGAAAAACAAAAACAAAAAGGCTCTGGGTATAGTTTTGGGGTTTAATATTGGGTAAAGATATACTCATATGCCCCTTTTAGTTTAACATTTCATATTTCAATAAAAGGAATATAATTCATACAGTTGCCCATAATTCAACATATGGCAGTTAAGTGCATGGGCTCTGGGGCTGGAGTGCTTGGATTTACACACTGCCTGTTTTCTACTCATTAGCTGGCTGATAGCGAGCGAATCATTTACAACCTCTCCAGGCCTTAGGAAAAAGGCTGCACTCGGCACAGTGCTGGCACACAGGGAACACTCAATCAGTGCTGTTCTGTCTAGTGGAAGAAATAGTTTTATAGAGCTCAAACTGTGGTAGAGACTTCTTACCTTTCTGTTTCTGGATTTCTGAGGTGTTTTTCTTGATTTTTGGACCACAATAAAACTCCCAGAAGCACCTTTTCCTTTTACCTAAGGTAAAGTAATTACAGTTGCAATAATCAATATTTTTAAATTACTGTGTTATTAATATTTATAACTTTATACTACCCAAACAAAGTACAGGGCATGGTACTATAAGAACTAATGTACAGTACTGCTCAACCCTTCAGAGAAAAAAGAACAATGGACAGACTGAAAGACTTGGGATTGAATCCTACTTACAGTTACTAGCCATTTAGTATCGGACAACCCCCTAAAGTCTCTGAGCTTTTGTTTCCTCATTTACGAAACTGGGAAGAATGCTATTGTGATACCAGGTTAAATAGTCTACGAGCTTTCCACCCCCCAAAAAAGTACTATGAAAGAAGGGACAATCTTGGGGCGCCTGGGTGGCTCAGTGGGTTAAGCCTCCACCTTCAGCTCAGGTCATGGTCCCAGGGTCCTAGGATCGGGCCCCGCATCAGACTCTGCTCAGCGAGGAGCCTGCTTCCCCCGCTCTCTCTGCCTGCCTCTCTGCCTACTTGTGATCTCTGTCAAATAAATAAATAAAATCTTTAAAAAAAAAGGGGGGGGGACAATCTCTTGGGGATAATAAGAAAATCTCTGTCTTGAAAGGAAGATCATTCCTTGGCAAAAGTTTACAACCTGCTGATCTCAAACTACAGTGCTTCCCAGATCGCCCATTAATGATTATTACTGCACATGGGAATAGTTATCTGATTAATTCTTAGCCACCCCATATGGTATGTGTAAGTCTTACCACATATTTCCACAGTTTACAAAGCACTTTCATAGAACTTTAAAGCTGATTGGCACTAACCTGAGTCCTCCACACCTTAGCTTTATTTGTGCTACTATGAATGTAGCAATCAAGCTGAAATGCTTTCAGCCTATAAACTGTTGTTTAAGCATCAAACTGAGGTCAGCCTACGAGGCAAGAATAGGTCATAAACTATATTTCATAAAAAAAAAAAAAAAAAAAAAAAAAAAAACCACACACACCACAAAGCCAGCTCATAAACTGTGCTGACATATGCTATGGTAGAGGACAAGTCTTTGGTTCTAATTACATTGGTTAGATAATACCTTTTAATCAGTGACTGTTTTGAAGGCCATACAATTATCGTTATACAACATTCTGAGAAAGCTCTAACATTAGCTCCACAGCAGAAATCTGTTTTACTCACTGATGGGCCCCTAAGGACCCGGCACACAGGAACAATATATATTTGTGGAATGAAGTACTTCTTGAAAGTTCCTAATCAGAATGTAAATGCCTGAGTGGCACAGAATTCTCTATTAATCAAACTGTGCAGAAAGGTATAAGAAAGGAAACAGGACTCTTGGAATGCAGTTAACTAGGTCCTCTGACCATTTCTGCCACTACCATGGGATTGTGATTACTTGACCTATGAAGAGGATTTAAGATAAAGTCCATTCCAACTTTAAACTTTTATGATTCTAAGCAGTATTTTTATGTACTATGCAAAACTACATGGATTTAGGCCTGAAATCAATATTGGTTTTAGACCAGTCTCAATTTACTCAGGCTTCTCTGAGCTCCTAACAAGCTTTAATATTGTTAAGTTAAAGTAAACCTATTTACAAATACATTAACAGTAACGAGTCTAGTTATATAACTTAGGCTTTAAAACTAACAAACACAGGACAAGAATAATTCTTTTTTGCTGCTCCAAGAAAATGATTCCTTAATCCTAGCTCTCATCTTCAGTACTAGGTGATCTCAAGCATAAGTGGCCCCCCCAAAAAAATCTAATTATGGGGCACCTGGGTGGCTCAGTCAGTTAAGCATCTGACTCTTGATTTCAGCTCAGGTCATGATCTCAAGCCTTGTGTAGGGCTCTGCGCTCAGCATGGAATCTGCTTAAGATTTTCTCCCTTTCGCGCTCTCGCTCTCTCTCACTCTGCCCCTCCCTCCTCCCACCCCTAGCTCATGGACTGGTGTGTGCTCTCTAAAAAAATAGATAAAATTTATAAAAGTACAAGGAGCACCAGAAACAAATTACACTATCATAATGCTTCTGCTCTCCAGAACAGTTAACTTATCAAAGGTAACCAGCACCCGTGATTCTGAAACCTAGTTTCAAATAATAAAAATAGGTTAAGTTTAAGCATTTCATCGTCATATTAATTTACAAAAGAGGACACAAAAACTCTAAATGTTGTGGACTTATAGTTAATACATGCTGAAATGATCTCATCCCCAATAATTGGTTAATACCTGTTTGATGACACCTCTATTTAATTCTCTTTTCAGTGCTTGTTTAAGGAGGTAGCCCCTTCTCTCCAACTCCAGAGAAGGGTACTTATGGATAATATATTTTCGAATAGCAACCACTGATGCACCACTCTTCTGGAAGCATGCCTAGAAAACAGATTTACCAAACCATACACATTACTTTATACTCGCTGCTTTTCATTAGACAGAAAAACTGACATGTTTTCAAAATAAATTATTTTGGAGGTGAACTTGACAAAGGATGATAAAAATGGCAGAAAGAAGGAGTAGTCTTTCAGGTAACTTCAGATCATCATGGCTGTTGAAAAATACAGAAATACAATCTTTTTGCAACAATAATTTTAACTTACTTCAAGACAGGCAAAGCGAAAATACAACATAGAAACGATATTGTGTGTGTCAAGGAAGAACCTCTTCCCATTTTAATTCTGTTCTATATTTAAAAGACAGATCTCCAGCATTAAAATGAAGAAAACACAGCATTTTTATTACTTGTAGGATTACAGATCTGGTTCACTTTATGGAATGAGCTTTAAGCATACAAGGACCAATGTTTCTCTGAAGACTTTGTGTGAATATCAGCAGAGAACATAAAGATAATCTGAATAAATGGCGTAAAGCGGTTTACAGATGGAAAATCTTAAGCAGAGTTTTGGGTAACAATGAGAGCATTCGGCTGCGACTTAAAATGCCCTCTTCTGTTTCCATCCAATTTATCTATATTCCATTTGAATAATGACCATGGAAGACTTACATAGGTCATTACGTCACAAAGGTGGCAAATTTTTTTCAAATGCTTTACATAAAGAGCATCTGTTATCAACCTAATTGGCTAGTACACCAATTTTGTGTTGCCGTTGTCTATAAACTAAACATGTCAATTAATTCTCATTGGATAAAGACTTAGTTGAATGTTATTTTATATACTTTGACAATAAAGAAAAATTGTACAACATAAAACAAAGTTGTGTTAATATGGTTCACCTACTTCAAGTATCTTTGATCTATTACAACCCATTAAAGTTTACTCCTAATCTTTTAAGAAAATACAAAGAAAATCGAGCAGAAAAGAACTCTCTAATGCTAAAACAATTCATGCTGCACCGAACTGACAGAGATGGAAGTAGACATCAGGACTCCTGTTTATTCACAAAATGGTATCAGTGGTCTGAAATGATTTGTTACGTTGCATGGAACACACATACACACACATAGCCTCATTTGTACAAATATGCGCAGATTCAAACCATTCTTCAGGCCTAATTATATTGTTCTTTTTGTTTCACTACTTTAAAATTTTAGTCCCTTCTCCAGCTTCATTGTAACTCTGCTCCTCAAAATCTAGGCTGAGAGGTCATGAAGTGAATGAAATCCTGGAAGAAAGGATATACAAAGAAAAGAGATCTCACTACAGTCAAGTTATCTAGACCAAGAAAGTTTTAAGGAGTTGAGAGCCCTCTTAAAAGAGTACAGGGAGAGGTCTGAAGGCAAACCCTTTTCCAGTTCATGTGTCATTCTCAAATTCTGAGAATGATCACAAGGCTCCCCTTTCCTCTGTACACCACCATTGATTACACTGGTCTTTATCCCTAATTTTGACTGAGATCCTAGCAATAAGGTCCCTAAAATGAGGGCATTTTGTTAATTTGGATGATGAGATGGTAAGAGGAACTAGTGAGATTATCATCTCATCATGCAAAATTAGCAAGGTAAGCATAACCAGAAAAACTTAAACAAAAAAGGCAAGGTCAGATTAGAAGAAAACCTTAAAAATTAAAATAAGCAAGCTACTGGTAAACTAATGGGAGTCAGTGGATTACAGTAAAGTCATAAAACTGTGCAAAGAGAATTTCTGGTGATGAAGCAAAGTAGTAAGGTTTTTAAGAGGGTTTCTTAGAGCTCAGGTGAGAAAGCTAGCTATTACCAGTATTAGACGCTCAGCTTTGAATTGGACCTAAAGACAGTGTATCTTTTTAAAATAAAAATCCTCTATGCTACTCAGTTACTCTCAGTAAGAATCAGACTTCTTAAGGGCAAAGATGACCCTGTTTGTTTTCTTCTCTGCTATATCCTTAGCAGGGTTACAGATACACAGAAGTTAGTCCTTAAATATGTTTGTCGAATGAATTAACAGGTTCAGCCTTCAAATAAATACTATATTTAACCAATAAACTGAAAAAAAAAAAACAAAACTATATTTAACCAAAACACTAAAGTTAAAAATACTTGCTCTCATAAATTTGAATTAAAAAATTAACAGTGCTCGCCAAATGTGATTTTCTTAAAAAACAAAAACAAAAACAAAACATGAACTTCACAATGGCTTTCTTCCATTTAAGTATCTTTTAGGAAGCAGAGCAAGATTTCTCATGTCTGGACAGGAATATGCCATTTTCAAATAACCCAAAGACGAACAAAATAAATCTAAGATGAACTGCTTGTAATAAAAACTTGCCTTAATGGCCTCAGTTAGGATTGCATCCATCTTGGGACGTGGGGAGGAAGCCATCGGTGTTTGTTTCTGGGCCCTGGCTAGCTGGCTGGCAGAAAGGGTAGCCCAGGAAGGTATTGTTTTTTTCACTTTCTTCTCCTTTTCTTTAGACTGATCTTTTTCACTTTAAAACAAAGAATTATTATTATGCAAAGTAAACTGCAGAAAGAGGTATAAAATCAGAAAGAAGAATAGACAAGGGAAGGATAAAAATTAATGTTTTATTTCCACACTAAAGTGATACATAAAATGAGCAAATTTTCACAAAATAAAACCTTTTTAAAAAATTGGATACTATAAATGAACAAAAAGGTGTTTTCCCTTAGTTGCAGAAGTCAGATAAATTAACACTATGAAGGTCCAGCACACTAAAGAAATGAGAATTTTAAAACATATTCTAACTACAACAGCTGTCATTTAGCACAGTGAAAAGAACTCAAGCTCTCAAGTTGGAAGACCTGGGTTTGGGTTTTTGCTCTAACATTTACTAGCTGTATGACCTTGGCAGGTGACCTGAGTCTCAGCCTCCTCAGCTGCAAAATAGTAATATAAGGCCAAATATTTTACAAGTTTGTTGCAGGAATTATATTTGTAAATACAATTTTGTGAGCATAAAGCATTACACAAACTGTATTCTAAAAATAATAATAGCACTCCATGCACCTAAAATACAGGGTAGCTGCTAAAAATTCCAGAGAACTTAAGCCTATAAAGGATTCCTTGAGGACTACACCCAGAGAGTGCAGTTATTACTAAGTTATTCATTCATTTAAAAAGCAATTCCTAACAATTCTGACCAACTATGAAAAGAACAGAACAAGACCAGCTGTCCTGCAAACAAACAAAAAAATCAAAAACAAAAAACCCACTTTAAATTAAAAAAGAATTACTGGGGTGCCTGGGTGGCTCAGCCAGTAAGCGGCTGCTTTTGGCTCAGGTCATGATCTCGGGGTCCTGGGATGGAGCTCTTGTTCCTCGCCCTCTGCCCCTCCCCCTCTTGTGTGCGCACTCGCTTGCTCTCTCTCAAATAAATAATAAAATCTTAAAAAAAAAAATAAAGATAAAAAAGAAATGCCACCACATTGTACAGATTATCAGTAGCAAATTTCACTTTCAGATTCTCAATGTCACCCTCCAACTGATGAATACTTCTTCAAACATACACAGAGTTTTAGGTGACTCTGGCAATAGCTGGTATAGACTAATGTTTTCTTACAGAAGCATATAAAAACAACTCACAGAGGCAGAGGCAGGAATAAAATGGTGAAGTGTTTCCCAGGTCAGATTTTTAGAGTCATGTTTCATTTCTTATTGAAATTATGTCAATGATTAAAATATCAGACACTCCCACAATGAATTCTAAGCAAAAAAAATTCCAAAGGCAAGAGCAATGAATTTTGAGTTATGCAAACCACTATTACGATAACTACTACAAACTCTAATAGGCCATACAACTACATAACAAACCTATTTCAAACAATAATTCTAAAAAGTAAATCCAAGTACACAGCAAATATCTAGCATAAACCACTGTTATAATGCCTTAAACGATCTGATCTACAGTCCTTTTACACAGTCTTCAATTACTATAAATAGCAAGAATGCATGACTCCTTACTCCTTTTTGGTTTCCTCTGAAGACTTGTTCTCTTCCTTCTCTTCATTCTCAGGTTCTCCCTTTGGCTGCTCCGTCTCACTAGATGTAGCAGGTGGAGTTTCATTCTCTTGTTCTTCTACAGTAGAGACAGATTCCTCTGAACTTATGTCTGGTTCTAAAAAATCAGGTGAGCAGAATTGGATCAAGTAGATATATTAGAGACTGAGTCAATAAAAGGGCAAAAGTCTAATTTATTAAACAGAAAATCTAAATGCTCCAACTGACAGATGTATTCTAAAACAAACAAATGACAATCAGTTGCTGTTTTCTTTCCTTCTTTAGGTCACTCAAACTGCCTATTCAATGGATTGTTTATCCAGACTATTAGGTGAGAAAAGGAGATGGACCAGGCAATTTGAGATTATCTCAAATAATCTTGCCCACAATCTGCAATATTAATGATAAGATTCATAATTAAGGGCACCTGGGTGGCTCAGTGGGTTGAGCCGCTGCCTTCGGCTCAGGTCATGGTCTCAGGGTCCTGGGATCGAGTCCCGCATCGGGCTCTCTGCTCAGCGGGGAGCCTGCTTCCCTCTCTCTCTCTCTGCCTGCCTCTCTGTCTACTTGTGATCTCTCTCTGTCAAATAAATAAAATCTTTAAAAAAAAATTCATAATTAAGAAATTAGCTATTTCATAATTTAACAGACAAATCTTAGGAAGGGAATGAGTAACAGAAAATTAACACCTACTTTCCACGTTAAAGGACTGGGACAAGAGCAGAAATCCAAGAGGGGGAATAGTGAGGTCTGCAGTTGCTAATTTGGGTCTTTCTCAGCATCTCTCTTTGACCAGTTACTACAAAACACAGTACGCCAGATATGGTTAAGCAGGGACTTCAAAGAAAAGGACTCTCCAGTGGCAAAACTTGGGCAAAAAAATAAAAGTATAGGCTTGAAGAGTTTGGTCACTTAAGGGGGCGCCTGGGTGGCTCAGTCGGTTGAGTGGCTGCCTTCAGCTCAGGTCATGATCCCGGGGTCCTGGGATCAAGCCCCGCATCTGGCTCCCTGCTCAACAGAGAGCCTACTTCTCCCTCTCCCTCTGCCTGCTGCTCTGCCTACTTGTGCACGCACTCTCTGTCAAATAAATAAATAAAATCTTTAAAAAAAAGAGTTTGGTCTTTTAAATTATGTGAACAAATTACTATCATGATGAAAAGTTCTAAGAGAACAACAACAAAAAAAATGCCACTTCCTTCTTATAACCAAAACATATACACAGTTCTAATGACAAATTAAAATTCTAAACCATGAATTTCAGGACAGTCAACTATCATTTGTTGATCTCATCCTAGTTATGCCCTTCAGCCAGACTTCCATATTAGCTGAAAATCCTCCCATATACGTTTAGCCAAAATTGAGGTTTTAGAGTCAGACACACCTGGATTCAAGTTCAGCCCTTACAACTTTCTAGCTTGCTATCTTAGGGCAAGTTCTTTGATGTCTCCAAGTTTCAGTAATCGTACATCGGATCTATCATGGGCATTGCATACAGTGCTTTGTATGTGCACGTGCACTATGTGGGTGATTCCCATTCTCCTTTGGCCTCTCCTGCTGGTTCTAGAACTATTTTGCAAAGTATTAAAGCTAGAACTTCATTATAACAATGGTATCTGTCGACTCAGATAATAACTGTAAAACGTATTTTTTTAATCATATCTTTTACTACCCCTCACCCCACCAATTTAACTCCTGCATGGGTAAGAACTTACTAGTAGTTAGTCATTATGCTTATTTATACATTGTCTTATTCTAAAAAGGACGGAAAAAACCGTTTGCTGGGTTTTACTCTAAGAGTAGAGCTATAAATTCAATTTCACATTATCTTCTCAAGAATAACGCTTAGGGGCGCCTGGGTGGCTCAGTGGGTTAAAGCCTCTGCCTTCAGCTCAGGTCATGATCCCAAGGTCCTGGGATCAAGCCCCATACTGGGTTCTCTGCTCGAGAGAGAGCCTGCTTCCTCCTCTCTCTCTCTGCCTGCCTCTCTGCCTACTTGAGATCTCTGTCAAGTAAATAAATAAAATCTTAAAAAAAAAAAACAAAACTGCTTAACAGTTGGTGGATTAATAAAGGTGCAGTAAATGCAACAGACACTAACTACGCAGTATGTATAAGACACCGTTTCCAATTCAATAAACTATTGTGTCTGTCTCTGTGAAATGCAGGATTTATAAAATTTAAAATACGAGTGAAATCCTATTACTTTTACATACAAAATCCTATAATGGGGGATTACACACAGAACTTGTGAAGTGAATACGGACCCTTTCTAAAGTCCTGGTTGACTTCTCCAATACCTAAACTCTCGGCAGGTGTTCTGAAAACTGATGCCGTTAGTGATTTAGTGGCTTTTAGCTGACCCTCGTTAAGCAAATGTGACTTGAGATGTTCGGACAAAATAACCGACTCCGCCTCACCAGCGCCTCTCCTTTCTCACTCGCTGATTCCCACAGCTCCTCAGTGCCTCAGGCTATTCATCTGGACCATTTTTTTTAACAGTCATTTTGAAACAAAACCCAGCTGCAGCTGGAAAGAGTAGACTCCTGCTGCAGTGAGGTATAAAGGCAACAGCGTGCACATATTTTTTATTCCCAATCTATGCTGGTCAGAAAAGTCACAAGAAGAAAAACAAGGAAAAGGAGAAGAGGTGATCAGAGATGCCATAAAGGAGCACTATTACCCAGTTTGATGGATCTACATTTCTCTTGATTCATTATGTTCCCAACTATGTCTAGCCGATCTTCTCTCCACCAATGCCAAATACAAACCAATACTCTGATTGCCCATTTGTTCCTTTAAGGCCTCATGATGATTTCTGGGTGACACTGCACTGTCCATCCTGAAGGCTCAAGTCCCCCATTTCTCCACGGCCTTCATCACCACGACACGGTATGCCCAGAAGCCACTCTTTGATGGTTCCTGTTCTTGCCAACCATTTTCTTTTTAATTCCGAGAACATGAAATTTTTGCCTTCTAAAAATCTTTAGAGAAGATGAAATTCTTACTTTGCTCACTTTGGTCTGGAAATGATGTATCTATAGGTACCACTTCTCTCTTTCAACGTCCCCCCAAAACAGCCATGAAAAAAGAAATTAAGTTCAAAGGAATTTATGGGATACTTCAAACTGGAGTAGAAACTTTTGCCATTTTAGGTTGTCTACTGCTTTACTTTACCTGGCTTTTCTTCCTCCCCTTCAGCAAGCTTGCTTTTGGGAGGAGTTTCCCGCGTAGAATTCACAGTTCGACGAATTGGCATGGTGCTATCTTCTACCTTCTAAGAAAAGAGACAGCCATAATCACACATGCATAAGAAAACTTCTCTATTCTCTCTTTCTCAAGGGGCCTAACTGGGTGTCAGAAGATGTAGGAGAATTCTTCAAGTCGACTCCAGGATCTGATGCAAATTACTTTTAACAGGTTTTTTTGAAGTAATAAATATGGTTTTTAAGATGTACTTTACAAAATATTTTATTTTAGGTAGGATTTCAAATGGAAACAGGTAATTATACTTGATTTGGAATAAATTTAGAAGGTTGGAGGTTTTCTCAGGAATTTGAGGGGAAAGGGAAGATGAAAAGAATTTTGTATGTTTGATCCTTTTTCAGATTCACAACCCAGAACTCCCCAAAGTAAGGAAAGGAACATGTACCAAGAAGGACCCAGAAGGGCCTGAAGTCAGGGACTGATCCAAGAGTGAGCTTCAAGAATGTGTCAGCCCCTACCTCACCTAACTTGTCCGCGTGGATCAGCTGAGCTCCTACTATAAGTGGGAGTGCCTTAGGATGGACGAGTTCACCTTGAGACGTATCAGTCGCCATTTAAAATAATTTCTAGGCCCGAGTACAGGTTACACTCTGAAGCCTCTGCTGTTAACCACAAGGATTTTTCCTAATGGTTTCAGTGTGAAGAGTCAACCTAAAGCACAGAAAAGACCTGGTGTGAAGATTAACAGAAACAAAACTAAACTAAATGTCTAAATTTAATACACATCCAAAGGGGAAAAAATTAACTGTAAAACGTATAAGTAAGTGACAGATGACTTGATCAGTTATCATTCAGAAAGATAAAATCAACTATCACAATATAGACTACGTAAAGCAGCCACTAAGACAAATGCACAAGCCACAGCAGCTGTTGCACCTTCCACATAAACAAAGGCAACACGGACAAGAAAGCTCCTAAGGAACCTATCCCCAATCTCCTCCGGGTACCATCAGGAACTTAGAAAGGACAGAATAAGGACACTAAGGAACAGTTTAGTCAAATGTTATTCAATACTGAAGAGAGAAGGTTTTTGTTGTTATTGTCTCAAATGGATTAAGAAAATAACCTGCAACCTTGACTTCATCTCCATTAGATAAGCAATCCAAGGGAAAAAATCCTGCTGAAGACGACGTGACACTCTAAGAGCCTCCAGACCTAGAGAAGCAAATTCAGACTACCACCTAGGAGAACAGAAGTATGCCTCCAAGACCTTATTTATTATTTTTAAAGTAGGCAAAACCAGCACAGAAGAACATAATTAAATATTCAAAGATAAAACCCATGTTTTGAGTGACCATATAGTCACTCAAATTTACCTGATCATTAATACTCTCTGCCCTCAAAAAAAAAACAAACAAAAAAAAAACAAAAACTCATCTGGGACTCAATGACATTTTACAATAAAAATCTCTACAAAATATAAGAAAATGATCATTTGAGTGTTTAGATCTTTGTGCTAATGAACATTAACAAAGACTTGGGGAATAGCAGATCAGTCATTCAACCTCTACTTTAAGCTCTGACCCTGTCTAGGAATTCAAGAGCTTTCTATTTGTCATGTAATAGTCCCAAACTACAATAACTAGGATAAATCCAAAAAACCCAAACACAGAGAATCCTTTCACATTCACAGGGAAAGTCTTTTTATGGGAACCCCCAAGAGCAATGCCAGACTTGTGACTTGGCAATCAGCTGCAAGCAAAGGCAGCTGAAAGAATTCAAGATGCACTAAAACTTATTATCAAGAGTAAATTAGTAATATCCATGAATATTTTTAAAATTATGTTATAAAAACTACTTAAAATGTTCCTGAAGCAATTCACTTCAAAGAATTATAAAATACAGAAATAAGAATAATTGTTTTTTGGTCTGTGAAAAGACAGCCACATTGGGCTTAAGAAACACATTGGGCTTGTGAAACCTAAAAGTCTATCTTGGAATAATCTGAATACAAAAACCTGCTCATTCATGCAACTAGCACTTACACAGTAATATGTTTTCTCGAACAATTAAAAAAAAAAAAAAACTAAGCAAATCTGCTGCTGTCTTCACATGTGAACCCTACAGAGAATTAAACCACCACAATCAGGTTATTCTTGGTAAAGTGATATGCCTAATGAATTCATCTTTCTTAACCCACGATGAAACTAGCTATGCTGAAAATGCTACTGTGAAGTCAACAAAAACCTTCAGAAGACTCTGTTCATAGAGTATCCTAAAAAAAAAAAAAGAAACTCCCTGTAAACACAATACTGAAAAAAGTATCAAACCTTTCCAGACTACTGTATTAATTACTCAAAACTAAAACAAATGAGTTAAAAGGGGAGGGGACATGCAAAGGAAGCTACTACTAAAGCCAATGTGATCAAACTAGTATCAGGGCAACAAGCACATGGTCCATAAAAAGATATTAGACATCATTAATCCAAGGACAAAAATGACAGTTTAAATTAGGTTGGGTAAGAAGCATGCTCAGGTTGGGGGAAAAAAAAAAAAGTTGCCCAACTTTCTGGCTGCATCCACCAAAAATATAAATCCTGACACTCTCCTGCTCAAAACCTCCCAATTACCATAATCTCCCTATTTTACTAATCTCACCTCCTACTACTCCAACCATCACTCTACTCTTGACCCCAAACACAAAAACTTTCTTTTGGTCCAGGCACTGTGCTCTGCTCATCCCTGCCTCAGATGTATGCACTTCCTGTTCTCTTAAACTAGAACACTTTTTTCCTAGACACTCCAATCAGGTTTCTGCTCAATGTCACACCCCTCAGGAAGGCCTCCCATCCTCCCCATTCTTCGGGTTTCTTTAGCATTTAATACCAACTGAAATTCAAAATATGTGTTTACTTGTTTATTATGTATCTCTCTCAAATGCACTGTAAGCACTACAAGGTCTAGGACCTTTAATTCACACTGTATTTGCAGCACCTAGAACAGTGTCCAACACATAATGTGTTGTGACAAATTTTGGGGAAAAGGGACGCCCGGGTGGCTCAGTTGGTTAAGCAGCTGCCTTCGGCTCAGGTCATGATCCCAGTGTCCTGGGATCGAGTCCCACATCGGGCTCCTTGCTCAGCAGGGAGCCTGCTTCTCCCTCTGCCTCTGCCTGCCATTCTGTCTGCCTGTGCTTGCTCTCTCTCCCTCTCTCTCTCTCTGACAAATAAATAAATAAAATCTTTAAAAAAAAAAATTGGGGGGGAAAAAGTTAAATGAACAATGCCATCTAATTAACTACTTATCACTATATTTAGTGTATGTGAATAACACTCCAAAAATGAAACCCAAAGTTATTTGGGATAAATATTAAGAAATGTTTGCTTCAAAGGCACCAGATTGGCTCAGTCCATAGAGAGTGCAACTCTTGATCTTGGGGTTGTGGGTTCGAGCCCCACATTGGGGAAAGAGTTAACTTTAAAAGAAAAATGTTTGCCTCAGCTCTGAATTTCCTCGGGAAGGGTCATGGAATTTAAAGCTTCAGTGTGTAATACTTTCTTTTTAATAGGCTGGATAATGAGTTACTTAACATGTTCAATGTTTATTACAGAGCTAACAAAACTATATGAATGGTTAACTCACACTGCCTTATCATCACCATATACCTATTAATTTAACTTTTTGTTGCTGCACTTTTGAATAATCAGACTTTTAGGCTACCATGTTTATTCCCCAGCAGAGATCTTATCTAGGTGGTTCACTGCTGCATACTTGGTGCCTAAGAATACACAAGGCACAGAATAGGTGCTCAACAAGTATTTGTTAAATGAAAGGATGATGAATAGATGAAAAAGTTTTCCAGCTAGGTTTTTTTATGTACCAAAACCAATATGAGTTTACCTGAGATTTATGTGGTCCTCCTGTGGTCTCCAATCTGGGTTCTTTTTTTTTTTCCCCCAAATGTTAGATTAACTACACAAAGAGTTACCTTTTTAAAAGGAAATTCTAAATTGTTTTTAATTTAATGCCAGCAATAGAAAGAGGTGATAAAGTCTGGAATTTCGAAGTTTTTATTTTTCTCTACGTTATGAGAAAGCAACAGAAAAATTAGTAGGAGGTTAACAATGTATTTCAGTTTACTGATATCCTTGAAGATACGCATTTTAGGGAAAGTACTACTATTTCATATTTTATCATAAAATGTGCAATAGGTTATAAATTACAAAATCACTAGTTATGGGCGCCTGGGTGGCTCAGTGGGTTAAGCCGCTGCCTTCGGCTCAGGTCATGATCTCAGGGTCCTGGGATCGAGTCCCGCATCGGGCTCTCTGCTCGGCAGGGAGCCTGCTTCTCTCTCTCTCTCTCTCTCTCTCTCTGCCTGCCTCTCTGTCTACTTGTGATCTCTCTCTGTCAAATAAATAAATAAAATCTTTAAAAAAAAAATCACTAGTTATATGCACAGAATATATCAAAACTGTTTGCAACCTTTTCACTGTATTCTGACTTAATAGTAACGTCACAAAAAGCATGCCGGTAATTTGCTGGCAACTCCCACCCCCCCCAACTTTTACACTTCAATAAAGCAGTATGTACCTAAATAGTGTCTACCTTGGGAATCTATGGTATGTATGGACACTTACATGGCTCCCCCTTGAAAGACAATCACAACGTTAACTGCCTAAATAGTTAAGATTTTCATCTATGGACAGTTCAGAGTACTTCCTCCAATTTTCCGCCCTAAATCGTCCAAGTTAGTTTAAAAACTCAGCCAAACCAAAAACTAAACAAAACACAAAATAAACCTTTAAAATGTTACTCCTACTTTGAAACATAGTAAACTGAACTTTTCAGAAGAGCACTAAAAACTTTAAAAAAAAAGGGGTTCCTGGGTGACTCAGTGGGTTAAGCTTCTGCCTTTGGCTCAAGTCGTGATCTCAGGGTCCTGGGATCGAACCCCGCATCCGGCTCTCCGCTCAGCAGGGAGCCTGCTTCCCCCTCTCTCTGCCTGCCTCTCTGCCTACTCGTGATCTGTCAAATAAATAAATAAATCTTTAAAAAAGATTTTACAACAAAAAACAAAACAAAACCTTTAAAAAAGCTCCAAGTAGCTTTATGCCCATGCCAGATAAAACAAAGTGCCTTCCAAAATAAAATCAGTCACATCTAATTTCACTCTAAGACGCGAGAGCTTCCTCCCATCAAGTCCCAGGCGAATTCCTAGACGTATTTTTAATTGGACTCTCGCCTTTCAGTGTAATTAAAAGTCAGGAGCATAATAAACAACAGAGAATTCAGAATTTGTACGCTGAAGAGGCAATCAAGTTCATCTTGTCCAATCCTCCGTGCAGAGGAGAATACTCCCCCCCCGACCCCCAAAGGCTAGGTGACCCGTTCTCGGTCACAGACAGTGGCCAATTCGGTATCAAGACTCAGATCTGAGGCTCTCACTTCAGCAAACCTGCCTCCAGCTCTTGACAAACGCCCACATTCACAAGTTCGACTTTTTAAATTAAAACCACACCTTCTAAGGCGCGGTGAGTTACAAGCTCCGGGCATGCCAGACGGGAAAACGAAAGCTCAGGCCCGCATCGCAGGAGCAGCAGCAGCAGCGGCGGCAGCGGCAGCTCGGAAACGCCCGCCCAGACCGCTGAGAGGCACACGGGGAACAGCGCAGCCGAGACAAAGAGGCAGGGAGCGGCCGGTGCGGGGCGCGAGCAGAGGCGGGGGAGCGCGGGGCCAAGAGGAAGGCAGCGCTGCGGAGGACAGGAGGGCTCGGCTGCGGACACCGAGTTGCTGCGGCGCAAGCTCCGCGCTGTCGGCGACTCCGGGCGCGTCGGTCGCGCCCGGGGATGCACGCGGCCGAGGCCGACGCCACAACCCCGGCAGCGGTCGCCCGCGCGACACCAGAAACGGCGGACCGCGAGCACTAGCACTCCGCGCACTCACCACTGGGAGCTCCGTAATGGCGGCGGCAGAGGCGGAGAAGCCGGGGGGCGGGCCCGCCGCAGCCAGTCACCGCCGCCGGCATCTTTCGAACCCGCTCCGAACACCGCTGAGGGAGTGGGGCGGAGGGGGAGGGTAGGGCGGGGGCGGCGGCGGAGTCCGCCGCGGGCCTCGGGAGCATGCGCAAGGCCTCAGCCAATCGGAACGCAGCGGGGGGACGCTGGCGCAGGCGCGCTGGGACGCAGGGCCCTGGACCAGGGAAGAGCTACCCCCTCCTCCCCCCAATCCAAACAAAACAAGGGCGGGAGCGCGCGCGCTGGAGGGCCCCGGAGGAGGCGTCAACGAGAGGGGCAGGGGGCTAGGTTGCAGGGGAGAGGGAAGGGAGGGCGGAGCGGCCGAGAAAAGCAGACAAAAGGCCCCCCCTCCGGGGACCCGGGCGCCCCGCCCCCTCCACTCTGGGAGCGGCGTCGGCGCCCCGGGTGAGCGGCCTCGGCC